GCTGCTGAAGCAGAACGTGCGAACTTAACTGTTACGCCACTGGGCCGGCCCCCCTCGATTTTATTTTTGATGAAGACATTTCCTTTTCATTTTCTCCAATAATTATCCAAATGTCCCAATACCATTTAGAGATAATTCGTTCCTCCTCCTGTTTGTAATTTCCTAAATGACTTAGACCTATTTTTGAAAACTGTGTTCTGTTTCTTTAACATGTCTTGTCTTTTTTCTCTTATTAGCTTTAATATTTGATAGTGGTAGTGTATTTTTGTTACCCCTACCCCCATTTGAAAGTTTTCTTTTTGAGCCAGCCCTGATTGCCTGATGGTTAAAGTTGGGTGCGCTCCACTTTGGAGGCCAGGGTTTGGTACTTGGCAGGGAAGGGAACCATACCATTTGTCTGTCAGTAGCCATGCCGTGATAGTGGCTCACATAGAAGAACCAGAAGAACTTACAACTATACACAACTATATACTGGGGCTTTGGGGGGGAAAAAGGAAGATTGGCAACAGGTGTAAGCTTAGGGCAAATCTTCCCCTGCCCAAAAAAATACATATATATCTATATAAAATTGTTTTCCTTTTGAGTGCTTTCTTATTTGTTTTTAAGGTAGACTTTGATGTAATTTTATTAAGATTAACCTCTTTCCCCCTCAGCAGAATTATACACTCTCTTAGTATTTTAGTGGGATCCCATTTAGGGGCATGTTGAAATTTTTACAGTGTAAAGCCATCTAAGAACATGATGTGGTTTACATTTCCCTAAATATTCTATTTATATTTATTAGTCAAGTTTCAAAGATTTTTGTATATAGGTTCTGCACATTTTTTTGTTGTAGTTGAGGGCATTTCTAGGATTTTATTTTTTGATTGCTGTCATTAGTAGAATATTTTTGTATGTTTTATTTTCTAGGTGCTTGTTGCCTTTATCTAGAAGGCTAATTGTTTATTGGTGAACTTGCCATCTTACTGAATCTTTGACTGAGTTGTTTTTTTTTGTTTTAAAGCTCTTTTTTTTTTTTTTGTGAGGAAGATCAGCCCTGAGCTAATGTCCATGCTAATCCTCCTCTTTTTTGCTGAGGAAGACTGGCTCTGAGCTAACGTCTATTGCCAATCCTCCTTTTTTAATTTTTTCCCCAAAGCCCCAGTAGATAGTTGTATGTCATAGTTGCACATCCTTCTAGTTGTTGTATGTGGGACGCAGCCTCAGCATGGTCAGAGAAGCGGTGCGTCGGTGCGCGCCCGGGATCTGAATCCCGGGCCGCCAGTAGCGGAGTGCGCACACTTAACCGCTAAGCCACGGGGCGGGCCCTGACTGAGTTGTTTTTTGAAAATTTTGATTTTAGGCTAGATTGCTTTTGAAAAATCCTTCATATAGTGCTTCCACTCCTCAGGGATTCCTGCTAGTCCATCTGTCGCCTCCCTTACTCCCAATTCTGATGTGATTTGTGGCCTTTTTGGTTATTACTATATCATGCTCTGTTTGTTATCTTTTAGGGATAATGTTCTAAGATATTTTTATCACATAAGATATGTGTTATATTGCATCGTTACTTACTGATGATTATTTTAAGTTATAGCTAAGAGTTGCAAATGTAAACGTACGTTGGACTGTGTGAATGAACAAATTAAGGGACTGTTGTATAATGATGCCTTGGAATCTTCAGTGTTTGCATATATATGGGAAGAAGAAAAAGAAACGTCAAAGGTTTTGTTCTGGGAAATAGGGTCTTGGGCCAGATGAGTGTGAAAAGGAAGAGAGAGACTAAATCCCCGAAGGTTGGACTAATACAAGGAGGACAGAAGTCATAGAGATTTAGAGTCATAAAGCTCCCCTATGCCATTTGCAGACAAATGTGGCTATTGTTAGTTGATGTCCCCTGACTCTCCAAGATTTTGGCACAGACCCAAACCTGCCATTTTGGGTCTCTTCAGTATATGGGGACCTCCCATCATTCTCGTGACTTGGAGAGTACAGAAATATCTTGAAAAGTGTTGACTTGGTCCTACATCAAATGGTCACAATTTTATGGAAATCTGGCCGTTAGAAGCATCTTATCCCTATGATCTAGGTTTTGGGGATTAGAACTTGTTTCCTAATTATTCGCTACAGCCCAAATACACTTTAAGGACTGGGTGTCAGGTGTTCAGTCTATTTAATCTTATTCCTGAAGGATATTAGCAATAAGAGTGCGTGTCCAGAGCTGTATTTTTTCTTAAAGTTTGGGTGGGAAAAATGTGCACCCATACAAAGCTGATGCTGATATTTGTGGTGGCAGTAAAGTCAGTAAAGTTGGGGGTGGGAGTAGGAAGAGGTTTAGGCACTGATTTTTAGATAGAAAAAGAGGTTTTTATTATAATGAAGAACAGAATTTCCCAGTGGCTTGGAGCTCTGATTTGAACTAATCAACTGTATAGATTGTACAGAAATTATAAAGATTAATTAGTGAGGGGCCGGCCCAGTGGTGTAGCGGTTAAGTTCGTGTGCTCCGCTTCAGCGGCCCCGGGTTCTCAGGTTTGGATCCCGGTTGTGGACTGATGTACCGCTTATCAAGCCATGCTGTGGCGGCGTCCCGTATAAAGTAGAGGAAGATGGACACAGATGTTAGCCCAGGGCCAGTCTTCCTCAGAAAAAAGAGGATTGGCATCGGATGTTAGCTCAGGGCTGATCTTCCTCACACGCACACACAAAAAGATTAATTAGTGAAACATTCCAAACTCAAAAAGTTGTTTGTGAAGGACTAGAACACATGAGTGAAAGTTGAAAGTACAACTAACCTCTGATGGCAAGATATGTTTTACTCTAATATTTATGAGCTTGAAAATTCTCAGTTTCTGAAATATTCCTTACAAATGGCAAGGGTGTAATAGAGAGAGATTTGCTGGTAACATTACTGTGAAAGAGCTGATCAAAGTGATTCCTGGAAGTGGATGTGTAGATGAACTACTAGAAATAGAGAAACTGGCCAGGAACTCGTTAGAGGATGGTCAGATAATAAGAGCTTGAACTGAAAAGGCAGCTCTTTAAGTTTTAGCTTTGGGAGGAGAAAGAGGAATAAAAATTGTCTCCACAATTGTAAGGCAGGAGCTACTATAGCATTCTTGAAAGGAAGATATCCTGAGTTTTAGGCCTCCCATGAGGGTATTTGCATTGAAATGTCCCACAGCACACAAATAAATCAGATACTAGGCATTTGGAGCTGGAGAGAGATCAGGGCCAAATTACAAAATCTACAATTGAGTAGCAAATGTGGGAGGAGGGCACTGAGAGACTTTAGATTTGAGTTAGCTGTGTTCTGTGATTGGTGATTCTACATTATTAAAGAAAATAAAATGATCTTATTTTCATTTTCATCTGTTATCCTCTTTCTGAGATCTATCTTCAGTTCCAAAGATTTTCTGGAGTGGTGATCTGCTTGTTTTTTGGTTTTTCCACTGCCAGTTTGTTTCATAATCTTTTGGTTTGCTAATTTGCTTAGAATAATGTCTGACACATAGTAAGCATTTAAATAGTAGTAGTAGTTCCTTTTTCTTAAATTGCTTTGTAATTCCTTTTGTCTGCTTTGTAAATGTCCCAAATTTTGTTGCAGTTTTTTTCTGTTTGTCTTTTTTCTTGTGGGTTTATGCCTTAACATTCCCTTAGAATTATTTAATGGACTTTTGGGAGGGAGATGAGGTAAACAGATGTTTCATTTCTGCCATGTTTTAACCAGGTGCTGCAAGTGTGTGTGTGTTTATTTAGCTAGTTTTTACTGCACATTGTGGAGTCTAGTGTGATAAAAGTGTTTTAGGAAAGTATTTACTAAGTACCTAGTGGTTCAAAGTGTGTGTGTAAGCATTTGATTAAGGTTGAGAAGTCTGCAGTTCTGATTGACAGTAATATAAAGTGTCATTTAATATCGGTTGTAATCATACAAGTGCCAAGTACTGCTTGCCCAAGGTTATATAGTGGTGGAGCAAGGATTTGAACAACAGTTATTCTACACCCAAGTCCTTGGCTTGTTCTTGAATATGTCAGATATTACCATTTTTTCCAGCTGTATTAATCAAATGAAGATAGAGTAAAAAGACTAATTTCATAATTAACTTTAAGGGTAGAAAATGACCACTGATTTTTATTGAGAATTTATATTCATTCCAAAATGGTTTTGAGGCAGTGTACTCACTATAGCCCATTTTTTTTTAAGTGAGGGAGGAAGAGAAATTGGTAGGAAAAATAAAGACTAATGGCAAGGTTAGTATGCAAAACATAGGCATGCCATTTACTAAAGGTGGGCTACACAGTCATGTGCTGCATAACAACGTTTTTGGTCACCGACGGAGCGCATATGATGGTGGTCCCATAAGATTAGTACTCTAGCCTAGGTATGTAGTAGGCTATCCCATCTAGGTTTGTGTAAGTACACTTTATGATGTTCACACAACAACGAAATTGTCTGACGACGCGTTTCTTGGAACGTATTCCCATTGTTAAGCGACACGTGGCTGTAATTTAATACTTATAACTAATATTTGTCATAAATTTGAGTTCTTTCTCTATGTCAAGTACTGTGGTAAACGTTAATTATTTCATTTCATTCTCATAATTCCATGAGGTATAGTACTGAAATGAACCGTTAGGTTAAAACCGTGCTCAAGAACGTATAAATGATACAGCCTGGGATGTGAATCTTGGCAGCCTGACTCTCAAGTCTGAGCAGTTTGAGTATCGACTAGTGCCTCTGAGGTTTCAGGGATGTACATGAGTTTTTTTTAATTCTGAGGTAGAGGGTACTGTCGGAAAACTGAAGTTCAGAGAGGTTAACTAACTTCCAAGGTCATACATCTCATAAGTGATGGACATGAAATCAAACCCAGATCTGCCTAATTCCAAGTTCTGTTCTTTTCAGTACTCCATATTGTTTTTGATATAGACAGTCTTTTAGAGTTAATATAGACCTTAAGAGTTAATGTAAGTTTAATTGAATATTGATATGCTTTTAATAATACTTTTGTTTTTTACAGGGATTTATCAAAGATGTTCATGAAGACTCCCTCACAGTTGTTTTTGAGAATAAGTAAGTTATTTTTTGTTGATAGAGATCTTAATTTTAAAGATCAGTAGTGCCAAACTGTTTGCTTTTGGGTGTTCCTGTTACCAATAAATAATGATTTTGCTTTTGGGTGGGGGGTCTTTGGTTGTTTGATCATCTTTTGAGTTCACATAATTCTAGTTTTGATAACTCTTCGTCTATTTTTCTGTACACAATATACTCGTCACTTTTTCATGACCCAGTTCTTTGCCAAAACACATGTGAACATGAATCAGTAAGTAGTTTTTGCAAATATGGATGGCACAAATGGGTTTTATAATATGCTTAATTCTTAAAATCCCAGAATGTTGAAATGATATTGTAGAAGGCTTTCTAAATGACTACTGGTAGTCAGAATAAGTATTAAGCTGCCTTTAGTTGCTTGATGTTAATAAGGAATAATATCCATTGTAAGGGCTAGGTAATGTTCTAAAAGACAGTATGCTGGGCTTGGTTAGGAATGGTTATAAAGGAGCACTGTATATAATTGAAGGTCCAAAAAGAACTGTTCAGCTTTCACTTTTAAGTTGCTTCTGGAACTGCCTAAAAAGATTTCTGCTCAACAGCTGTTTCAACTTGTTTCATGTAGAGACAAGTGTTGAGATGATTGCTGTCTTTGAGCAGCTGCCATTTAGACATTAATGGTGAAAAGAAAGCGCTCAAAAATCTTTACTTGTCTCCTGCTGTTTTGCCTAGCATTGGTAGATAGAAGCTATGGGAGCATTTTATCTGCTCATATACCTCCCAGGGATATGAATGACCTGTTAGAACTTAGAGTAGGAAAGAATTTTTAACTTTATCAACTCAGCTTATAAAATACAACACAAAAAATGTCAGTTAAGCAACAGCTAAGTTAGTAGTTTTAATATATTCATATTAGCTACAAAGAGGGCCGGCCCCGTGGCTTAGCGGTTGGGTGCGCGGTCCGCTGCTGGCGGCCCGGGTTCGGATCCCGGGCGCGCACAGACGCGCCGCTTCTCCAGCCATGCTGAGGCCGCATCCCACGTACAGCAACTAGAAGGCTGTGCAACTATGACATACAACTATCTGCTGGGGCTTTGGGGGGAAAAATAAATAAATAAATAAATCGTATTAGCTACAAAGATTTTATTTTTTTAAAAAAAAAATTTTTTTTTTATTTATTTATTTTTCCCCCCAAAGCCCCAGCAGATAGTTGTATGTCATAGTTGCACAGCCTTCTAGTTGCTGTACGTGGGATGCGGCCTCAGCATGGCTGGAGAAGCGGCGCGTCTGTGCGCGCCCGGGATCCGAACCCGGGCCGCCAGCAGCGGACCGCGCACCCAACCGCTAAGCCACGGGGCCGGCCCAGCTACAAAGATTTTAAAAGTAAGCTTTTTCTAGGTTAATTATAACGTATATGTTCATTGTAGAAAAGATAAATTCTATGTGAGAAAATTAAGTCTTTCGTAATTAAGCTATTCAAAATAATTGAGTAGTTTTCTGTATTTCTGTGAACATGTACACTAAAAAGGAGTTATAAATATAAATTATATTTATAATCTCTGAAAATGTGTTCCTTTGACAGGTTATATAGTTGTACAAGTGTGAAATAAGTTGATCTCACTGCTGTTTGGCTGTGGTGTAGATATGACATTATTTTGAATCTAAATCGTTACTATGAACTTAGCCTATTTCATTTGCAGCATAATCTGTGTATGTTCCCTGAGAATGAGTAATTTGGAAAGTAATATATAATTATTATCAGTGATGTTAATTATTTGTAAACTTCATCAAGAGTCATACAAAAACTGTTCTACCTCAGTAAACTAATTACTTGGAAAAATATGTAATATGAAGGTTGTTTTTCTTTAGGGAAAGCTAAATGATTAACTTGAAAAATATTCAGCACTAAGCATAGAATAAATAGCTTCCATATTATGGACTATTGAAATACAGATCCTCCTCGACTTATGATGGTGTTACATTCTGACAAACCCGTTGTAAGTTGAAAATAATCATTAAGTCGAGAAAGCATTTAATAGCCTTAACCTGCCTAACATCATAGCTTAGCCTAGCCTACTTGAAATGTGCTCAGAACACTTAACATTAGCCTACAGTTGGGCAAAATCATCTAACACACAGCCTATTTTATAATAAAGTGTTGAATATTTTATGTAATTTATTGAATATTGTTCTGCAAGTGAAGAACAGAATGGTTGTAAGTGTTATCAGTTGTTTATCCTCATAATCGAGTGGCTGACTGGGAGCTGGGGCTTGCTACCACTGCCCACCATCACAAGAGTATCCTACTGCAGATCGGTAGCCTGGGAAGAGATCAAAATTGGAAATACGGTTTCTACTGAATGCATATCGCTTTCACACCATTTTAAAGTTGGAAAATCATTAAGTCACACCATCATAAGTTTGGGACCATCTGTAATAAATTTTAAAGTTAATTCCTTTTCTAATCCTTCAGTTGGCAGCCAGAACGCCAGGTTCCATTTAATGAAGTTAGATTACCACCACCACCTGACATAAAAAAAGAAATCAGTGAAGGAGATGAAGTAGAGGTATGTATTTATAAGTTTATTTTCTTGTGGGCCTATTTTTTTTTTGTTTTAAATAAATATTCTCGTAGGAAAATCTATTTAGCTGATGGAGAATAAATCTAATTCCTTTTCTCTGTTCTTTCTATTGATAATGGCTGTGTAATATAGCAATGCTTGAGTGTTGGAGTCAGAACTGGGATCCATGTGTTAGCTCTACCATTTTTAGCTTTATGGCCTTGGTCAAGTTTTTTTTTTACCACTAAAATGAAAATAATTTGAAAGTTAAGGATTGATAGTGCATTTGAATTGCTTTGCACAGAATCGAGCACAGAGAACTGTATGGTTTTGGTCGTTATTTTCCTTCTTTTTGCTAATTACTTTATGGTTCATATGTAATAATGTGAAATATTGTGATTAGCGTACTGCTTTGTTGAGTATTCTAGAAATGTCTGGAAAATTTTAAAAGTACAGAAAAACAAAAAGGAAAAAAACAAGAATCACTGCCCAGAGATAAAAACCACTGTTCACAGTTTACATAGCATTCCCAAGCTCTCCCTCCCCTCTTTTTAAAAATAAAAATGGGATCATAGTGTACTGCTTTGTATCTTGCTTTTTTCACACTTAGTAGATTTTGGATGTTTGTCTTGAATATGTTAATGTTGATTAATATGTCTGCTGTTATGTAAAAAGGAACTTGGGAATAATTGTGAAATAGAGGCATAATGAGTTTGTTGGAGATAGAAAATTTGATTTTCGATTTGAAGGAGTTGATACATTTCCTCCAAGGTGCTCAAATATGCTAAATATATTTCTCACAAGGAGTTGGCTTGGTAGTATTGAAAAAGATTTTCAAATTTCATTTGCCCCTTGTTTATGTAGGAGAACTGGGGGCATAGGAGAACATTTACTGATGAAATAGCTATCTAAATGTTTTTATAAACAACAGTACATACTCTGTTGCCACTGTTCTGAGCATTTTGCAAATGAACTCATTTAGTTACCTGCCAGTTTAATTCTTCATAATTTTTGCAATGCTAAATTTTCTTTGCGTTCCCGTTAATTATAGATGTTATGCTAGGAAACCAAAGAATTGTAGCACTTTAATTTCTGATAACCTGAACTCATTTCCATTCTAAAATTCTGCCTAGATTTTAATTACTTGCTCTAAGTTCAATGTGCACTCTCTTGCTTTTGCTAAATCAAAGCATGTTATAATCTCATTGTCAGGGCACGGTGAGCCTGTTCTCTAATGTTAGATCCTTCACTTTAGTAATTTTTTTCTTTTGTAGTTGACTTCTACCGAAAGTTGGTACTAAGAACTTCCTTGTAAGGAAACCTATAACTGTAGTCAAGGTGTGGTGTGTATTTGTGTCCTTGAGGGAATGTCACAGATGGTATGGGAAGACGGGGAAACAAAGCAGTGTTGAAAATTAAGGAGTGTGAAGTGGAGTACTTGGTGGCTTCTATGAATTCTAGCAGTGATGCTGTCGATTACTACTGTACCATGTTCACTTGGACTTTAGAATCTAGTGAAAGTATTTTTCTCAATGTTATATTATAATTTTTTTTTTTCTCTGAGGAAGATTGGCCCTGGGCTAACATCCATGCCCATCTTCCATGTGGGACGCCTGCCACAGTGTGGCTTGATAAGCAGTATGTAGGTCTGTGCCCAGGATCTGAACCCATGAACCCCGGGCTGCCAGAGCGGAGCGTGCGAACTTAACCTCTACGCCACCAGGCTGGCCCTATGTTATATCCTTTTCTAATCAACATCTTTCTGTGAGGATGGATAAAAGCTTGATTCGTTTTCAAATTTATTTCCTATTCCAGAAGAAGTTTTTTTCTTCCGGAATTCTGGTGATGAGTCAGGTCAAGGAAGGAATGGTTTAGTTTTGGAAATGTTCTAGAATTAGAAATGTTGTGGTGGTCAATTCTGAGAGTAGTGCTTTTCATACTTTTTTAATTGTTGTTCAGTTGTTGGTGCTGTAAAGGCTCAGATTAAAAGAAAAACCTGGTGGAGTGCTGAGGGTGTTGTTATACAGTGTGCTTTCCCCAGTCTCAGTCTAGCGATGTCCTGTCCAGTTTCTGGACCATCTTTGTGGCCCACCTCCCCAACTGTGCACAAAAGTTTGATGTAAGAGATTGGATGATTTGGATATTGATGATTAGAGAGTGTTTTATTTCACCATGTGTTTTGTGGTTCAGTCTTGGTGAAATTGGCTCCTTAAAATCATGAGAATCGTTATCTGAAATTAAGATGTTACTGTCATTTTTTATCGCTTTTGAAAATTTTGAAAATTCACATAAGTTTAAAATTAATCTTGGCGGGCCGGCCCCGTGGCTTAGCGGTTAAGTGCCCACACTCTGCTGCTGACAGCCCGGGGTTCGGATCCTGGGCGTGCACCGACGCACCGCTTCTCTGGCCATGCTGAGGCCGCGTCCCACATACAGCAACTGGAAGGATGTGCAGCTATGACATACAACTATCTACTGGGGCTTTGGGGGAAAAATAAATAAAATTAAAAAATAAATAAATAAAATTAATCTTGCCACCTATAGACTATTGTGTTTTTTTTGCCACTGTTAGGAATCTGTCCATGTGACCTGGACTGTTCAGGAATTACGGTTGTTAGTGCTTTATGTTTTGAACCAAATAACTTTTTGAAAGCTTCCCCCTTTCAATTCAAACTAATAAAACTTAATGTAAAAAGTGAATGATACAGAATTAAAGTGTATGGAGTAAAGAGTAAACTTTTCCTCTTTCTGTAGTTGTGTAGGTGTTTGTCTGCTTACCCCAGTTTAAATCTCATTTACCAGAGTTGAGTGTCTCTTCAGATTTTTTCTTTGCATTTGTAAAGACTATGTGCTTTTTTAAGTTACAAAAATTGGGAATAATATATTTGTGATTTTTGTATTCCGTTAATTAGGATATCATAGAAATTTTCATGTCTGTACATACAGATTTACCTCCTTCTTTCTAACCACCCCATGATATTCCTTAGTACAGATGTATCGTAATTATAAGACACTGAAACTATTGACAGATTTTTTGCTGTTACCAAAAAAAAACCCGAGTTAATGTCCTTATGTAAATCATTTTCTGATAATATAGTTCCAAGAAGTTCAGTTGCTGGATCAAAAGGCATGTATATTTAAAATTTTGATAGTACCAAAATGTACCATTTTGTCCTCCAAAAATGCTTTTTTGAATTATCACTTCATAGTTTTGCTAACTCATGAAAGTATTTGTTTCCTCATAGATTGACTGGCTGATTTATTAATCATCTGTGAGTTTTATAAACTTGAAAGAAGGATGCTGAGGTTTTCTGAATCTTTGTTTTCTCGATCACTAGTCATACAGAGCATCTTTTAAATTAGTTTATTGGCTGTTAGCCCCTTTGTTCTGTGAATTGTTTGTTTTTGTTTTTTGTCTATCTAGTTTTTGGTGTAGAAAATCCTTGCATTTTATGGATAAGTTTTTATCTGTTATATTGTGCCTTCTCCCAGGCAATTAAAATGTTCAATGGCTTTTGCCATTAAAAAGTTACATTTTATTTATTCAGATCTGCCCGTTTTTTGTGTGGCCTCCAAGATATTCATTTTAATATTTCTACACCTGTGGCCTTTTTTTTAAATAAAAGGAGTATTTAGGTTTTTAATCTAACTTGATATTTTTCTCTAGGGTAATTTTTTGCATAGTATATTATTTTTAGTATATTAATTTTCTTTAACTCATCAGCCAGTGTTTTCTTTCTGCTACTCACAAATACTAGTATAGCAATAATAACAACTGACGCTTGTATAGCACTAACATATAGTATGTAACTAATAGGCTTTTTAAACAGATGATCTCAGTTTAACATAACACTCTCTTGAGGGCCTCTTCTAAACTCGATGAATACTTGATTAACCTTTCCAAGATTGTGTAGCCTGAAGGTTGGGAAGCTGGTAACTAGGTTCAGTTTTTGTCCTGAGTGTTGTTATTTAACATGTCATGCTGTGTTCACAGGGTGTTGTCAGTTTTGTGCGAGACTCACAGCTCTTGCTCTTTTCGAGTTCTAGGAACCCTTCCTCTTTGAAGAAGGGAAAGGTGACGTTGATTTGGCTATTAGTAATAAACTTAGAACAAAAATGATCCAGGAGAGAACTTTCCATTGAGCTGTTCAGGCATTTATTTAAAGTTAAGCCATATGAAATTTCCACTCTTACAGGTTAGGAATGGTTGAATGTTGACAGTTTCATGTGGTTTACCCTAAAATTTTATTGCTTTAAAAATGTTTGGCTACTTGAGGTTCGCTTTTTCAGCCAACTTCTGAGACTTACACGAAGTTATAGAACATAAATTAGTGTCAAGGTCTGGTAATGGCCTCAAGAAGACAACACACTATATGATTTATAATAGAAAGTTGGTTTTGAAAGGTCTGAAATTCAAAGGTTGTTTTTAAATCTAATTATTTGACTTTATTTTTTAATTTTTGACTTTAAAAAAGTGGTGGAATGTATTTTAAAATCTTTATAATATTAAATATAATTACTTTTTTTGTAATTATTTGCTTAATGGTTGATTTTGCTAACCATTGCTAAGAAAATAATGCTTAGCTTGTAAAGTTGGAGGTAATGGGAAAATGAAGAGTTCTTAAGCTGGATATATAATCTAGTTAGGATATTGGAAGGGCAGTAGAAAAATTATTTTCCCCCCTGTGATTTCACATATGAGATTCTTTGTCTTTTATTATAGATAGCTGCCTTGTTCAGCAAGTTAATAAACACACACACACACACACACACACACACACTGCCTTGTTCAGCAAGTTAATAAACACACACACACACACACACGCGCGCGCGCGCGCTGCCCCGGAAGCCTGACATCTCAAGCCAATGATACAGTTTAACGAGGTTTTCTAAGTTTTCCTCTTGAGTTTAACATACTTGATATTAAAAAACTTTTTTTTTGAATTGTGAAGTTTTCTGGTTGAGATAAGAATTTGCAAGTTTTTGTTCTTTGACATATGCCTTTC